AAGGGAGACTAAGGCAGGGAGATAAATCCTACTGAGGAGAGAAAATGGAGATGAGGTGTGCCCATTGGTGCCGAGAACCCAGCAGGACCTGACTTGACCCCATCCCCTGCACACAGCCTCCTACCATGTCTCCCCTGTGCCCACACCCTGTCCAGCTCCTGAGGCTCCCATGGTAGCTAAGTTTAGACAAAGGATATTTATCTAGGAGATCAGAGGGAGAAGCTCACACCCATAGGGAAAAGGACCGCAGGGCCTCCATTCAAGATTTAGATTCAAGAGGAATCCAGCAAGGCTGAGCTAAGGGCTGTCGTTGCTATGTTTTGTGTTACTGTAACCGGAATACCCAAGGCTGGGTAATTGATCCAGAAAAAGAGGTTTTTTGGCTCATGATCTGGTGGCTGAGAAAGTTTAAGTTTAGGCAGCGATCAGAATGCAGGCCTCATGCAGCTTCCACTCGTGGCAGAAAGCAAAAAGGGAGTGGCACGTGTACGATTGCATGGTGACAGAGGAAGCATGAGAGAGGGATAAGGAGCAAGACTCTGTATTGGTCCCAATGTCTTGGAAACTTGCACATTCCAGATACAGCAAAAACTCAAGCCCGTGAGGTGGAAGGGGGCACTCATCTCTTCATAAAGGATCTGTCCCCATGATCTAAATATCTCCCACTGGGACCCACCTCCCAACACTGCTGTGTTGGGGATGAAGGTTTCAGGAGGAGTTTGGTTAGGAACACCCCACATCCCAGCCATAGTGAGGCTGCACTGAGCTGAGCAGGAAAGCCTCAAAGGCCTGGTCTGGCATGAGGGTCTTGTAAACTCAGCTCTCTCCACTGTCCCAGTAGGTGTAGAAAGAGACCCCAGCCTAGCAACGTCACCAGGCACCTGTCAACCTCCCTCACATATGGAACCTGCAGGCTTCTCAGGAAGCTCATGGAGTAGGCAGCTGTCCAGTCAGGGGTGGGAGGAGCCCAGGCAGGCAAATGGGTCCGGCTGGTGGAAGAGGCTGTCAGATCCCAAGCAGCTCCTTCCCAACAGCACGAATTCTTGGTCGTCTTCTGCCTCTCTGTCTGGCCACCGTGACGGGGCAGGGGCATCCTCAACCCTGCCCGCACTTGGTGACTGCCTGGGTGCTGGTACTGCTGACCCTGGGCCCTGTTCCAGCACCCAGGCCCCATGTACTACCCCTGGGCTAGTGTCACTGATTGTCCCAGCCTCTCTCAATGCAGACCGTGCTTCTCTTCCTAAATCTGAACCCAGGTGTTCCTCCCACCTATTGCTCATTCCTAGCCCAGGACCTTGGATGCCATACAGAGGAATTCCTCTGCCTGAGGTCTGAAAGCTCATTCTGTGACCCTGAAAGGGCTTCTCTTCTAGTTTGTGCCTACAACTAGGACCTTCCTCGAAGTCCCCTGAGTTCCCAGGTCATTGGATTAATTCAGCCCTGCTCTGAGAATGGGCAGGAAAGGGGAGGGCTGGACAGCAGGTGATCAGCCAGAAGTGGAGGGAGATGGAAAAACTGGGAGAGAAGAGTGACCTGGGAACATCATGGATAGAATGGCCAGCCAGTCCCCTGGCATCAGGAGATTTACAAGGGCTCACGTTGGCCATGCTCAAAGACCACAGGACAGTGGGCACTCACTCCCATTACTACCCCTAATACATGGTTGAAAAGAGGAAGAGGAAGTGAATCATGTAAATGAAAGTCTCATTGCAATTGGAGAGGTGGAGACCTCAGAGTGATCAAAGAGATAGGGAAGGTGTACAGGGAAGGGGAATCTGAATATTTCTATGTAAAAGAATGATTTTGAACTTTTACATACACCATATACAAAGTAAAAAAAAAAAAAAATGGATAGAAGAGTTGAAAGATAGCCCACAGAATGGCAGAATATATTCACAAATCAAATGAGAACATATAAAGCACTCCAACACACAACAACTGAAGAGGGCCAGTCCCTCCACACCTGTGGGTGTTTCTCATCAGGTGGAACAAGAGACTGAGAAAAGAAATAAGACACGGAGACAAAGTATAGAGAAAGAACAGTGGGCCCAGGGGACCGGCGCTCAGCATACAAAGGACCCGCACCAGCACTGGTCTCTGAGTTCCCTCAGTATTGTTGATCACTGTCTCTACCATCTCGGTGAGGCAGATGTGGCAGGACTATAGGGTAATGGTGGGGGGAGGGTCAGCAGGAAAACATGTGAGCAAAGGACTCTGTGTCATAAATAAGTTTAAAGAAAGGTGCTGTGCCTTGATGTGCACGTACACAAACATCTCAGTGCATTAAAGAGCAGTGTTGTCGCCAGCATGTCTCACCTCCAGCCCTAAGGTGGTTTTCTCCTATCTCAGTAAATAGAACATACAATCGGGTTTTACACAGAGATGTGCCATTCCCAGGGAGGAGCAGGAGATAGATGCCTTCCTCTTATCTCAACTGCAAAGAGGCCTTCCTCTTTCACTAATCCTCCTCAGCACAGACCCTTTATGGGTGTTGGGCTGGGGGACAGTCAAGTCTTTCCCTTCCCACGAGGCCATATCTCAGGTTATCACGGGGGGAGAAACCTTGGACAATACCTGGCTTTCCTGGGCAGAGGTCCCTGCAGCCTTCCGCAGTGTATTGTTTCCCTGGGTACTCGAGATTAGAGAATGGTGATGACTTTTACCAAGCATACTGCCTTCAAGCACTTTTTTAACAAAGCACGTCCTGCACAGCCCTAAATCCATTAAACCTTGAGTCAACACAGCATAC